TTTTTTTTTTTTTTTTGTTACATGAGGGCTTCATTTTTCCCCCCCTTATCTAATGAATTTTAAGTTCCAAACGAGTGAAATTAGTAGAGCTAAAATCAACGAGGTTACGAATATGACCTAAAATTTTTGAAGATATTAACTCTCCAATTGGACTAACTGCTGTCTGGAACACCTGCGGTTATTAGCCCCTGCATGGCTTCTATTCTTTAAAATTACATTTTTCAATAAAATAATATTACACATAAATAAAAAAAAAAAAATTCTTATGATTCAACTGCACATTCTCTAAAATATTATTACTATTATTTTTTAACGGAACCTCCAAAATTTATGAGTAACCCTAACTTATGACCGAGGAAAATTGTGAATACATATTACTATTTAAAAATATATTTTTGACCAAAATACATTTTTAATGGAGCCCAAACAAGGGAGTTTTGTTTTATTTTCCTTCAAAGAAAAATTGGATTTTATGTGGAAATGGTCAGACAAGTTTTCACAAAAGTAATGTTGAAGAAATTTTACATTTTATTATGATCGTTTGTTATTGTTTCTACACCAAATGTTAACTATTTTATTTAAAAGTTTAATTTAAGACCATGTTTGGCCCCATTTTCATTTTATTGCATTTTTCTCTTTCTTTTTCTCAATCCCACATTTTTCAGTAAAATAATATTATACGTAAACCTTAAACTTCATTCTTTTTTAATCACTCATTTTTCAAAAAATTACTATTTCAAAATATTATTTTTTTCCTAAAATCTCAATAAAATAGAGCCCAAACAAAGGCTAAATCTTTACAAGTGGATTAATTTTTAGTCAAAGAGAAGACGTATACACATTTTTACAAATAGGTAAAAAGAAAATTTTAAATCAGGTCTTTATCATCTCATCCAACAATTTAATAGTAAATACGAATCAAATATATTTGTTTAGATTTGATCTTCGGACAAATTACTTTTCTATTTCAATAACAACAATATATTATTTGAGGCATTAATCCTTGATGATTAGGAATAATAATGACACCATAATTTTCGTAGATCTTTGTAAATGATTAGATACTACCAATGACTCACTGCATGTTTCGTGAAAAAGAAAGATTAGCATAAATATCTCTTAATTATTCTTCTAATCAGTGATTTAATTATTTAAACATCTCATAATTTATGATGTTATATGATTAACCTAAAAAACCTCCTAGTATAAACTTATTCGAAGCTTTACCAACTCTCTCTCTCTCTCTCTCTCTCTCTCTCTCTCTCCCTTCCTCTCTCTCCCTCCCTCTCTCTCTCTCTCTCTTTCTCTCTCTCCCTCCCTCTCTCTCTCTCTATAGATCACACAGAGAGAGTCTTGATCTGCCCATCAGATTGCAAACCTATACCGTTCATCCCGTTCTCTTAGGGTTTTACAGAGAGCATGGAATCAGCTGGGTTTGGGAAGATAAGATTTATCAAATTTAGTTTCCCACTAATGTAAACAAATATAAACTCATTTCAAGACCTATTTAATTTCTTCCTTCTAGGAATGTTTGATAAAATCTCACAGCAAAAAAAGAATTTAAGTGTATTTACTATAAAATACTCATGCTGTGTGTGTACACAAATTCGTGCACTTCTCCAGCTCCGGTATCATCGAAATTAAGACTTTGCTTGGCCACAAAACTTAAGACAACATGGTGACGTGAAGAGACGTGACATATTTGACCATTGAGGGAGCTAGTTAGAGGAGAAGTTGGTACAGCAAACTCTCTAATTTTCACCATCTTTGAAACCCAAACACACCTTTATTTCTTTAACCCTGAGAACCCCTTTAATTTGGCTTTCTTGTATATATATATATATATATATATGCATGAAACAATTATTTATGGACTTATAATTTGGAATATACACTTTTTTTTTCTTTTTATGTTTATGATCCAGTTTTCTCTGATTATCAGACATCATGAAGCTAAGCATAATTAAACATATTGATTATGAGCATATCTAGAATATGTACAGTATTATTTATTTATTTTTTCTTTTTATGTTGAACTGCACTATTTACAAATTTAACTTTAAATTATAAAACTCAACATGCATTATAATTAGCACAAGTATCAAGTTCAATTATAGTTACAATCATTTATATAAAATTACGTGCTTGTCATATCTTCGATGAAAAAATATTTGACTTATACGTGAAGAGTACGTTAATAAAAAAAATAAAAATAAATAATTCATCTAGTTCCACGAATGAACTCACAATTCACAAAATAAGACATATTTTTTATCCATTTATTTTTAATTTTTGGATGCCATTGATGTTGATACTAACAAGTTGAGTCAAAGTAACAATGTCATTAGCACTGGATGCGATTTTCCACTTCTACCCCCGCCCAAAAAAATAAACTGAACTCATCTTCCTACCCTTTTTAAAAAGTAATCATCTTAATTAGGTTTGATCAGATTAAATATGCTGCTTTAATTATGAATTTCATGTTTTAATTTTACGATACTGTATCGGTAATTAAGTGGTTTAATTGATTGGTTAATTTGTATGATATTAATATTCCGTCTTCATATGATTAAATCGTCAAAAACTTAATTTGTTGTGTATATGCCTGTCCTTATTTGCATATTCATAAATTAGGAATTACATATTTAATTATTTTGCACAAATTTTTGGAAAATGATAAATAACTACCATGTTCTAAATGAATGAATACGCAAATTGAAGATTATTATTTCTTGATGATAGACTACGTATTATACTCAAATTAATTTCAAATTCAAACAAGGATTTGATTTTCATCTAGCTAGGTGTGTTGAGAAATATTTACCTTTCGAAATAAATAGTCCAAGGAGACATTAGACTTTAATAATGAATAAATTTTCTAATAGTTATTTAATATAAACACAATCTAGAAAGGTTATCTATCATGTCAAGAAATAGCCTTAACCGAAGACAAGTAATGCCTATGGTACAGCCTAAAATTAGTTCCTTAATTATTATATGCGATTACAAGATACAATCTTATAATATTTCTTTGGAAAATCTAATTAAATTGCGATCTAATTCAATATAAATGTAGTATCATCCATCTACAACGCCACATTGTGTGTAAAGAAAGCAAAAACTAGTCTACCTTATAACTACCCTTCCTACTACATTTGTGATATTAGGATCCACATGTCCCTATGTGCACAAGGGGATTACAAATAAACATGCAAAGAGGATAGTTGAATATTACTTTGGTGTATTAAAAAATGAAAAATATATTGTTTAATTTCGTCTAGTATTATATAAA